TCATCTGGACTCTGGGTCGGTTATGTAACTTTGACTTTTCTCCTTGACCAACACTGAGTTGCTGCTACCAGGAACAAACATCTGGTATCAGTAGAAGAGAAAACAAAGAGTGACTGAACTCCGGATTGGGTCAACGGTCAACAGAAGACAACAGCACATCGTGTTTTTAAAATACAAAAGTTCCCCTGGTTTCACCTTCTTCAGGCCGACCTGCAGCTTGTTTGTCTCCAAATAACTGGGTTTGAAAAGGTTGGGCCTGGTTGGTCGGTTCCACTTCGGCCCTTTGATCAACTTCTGTTGATTGTATCTGAGCAAAGTTGAAATGATGTGGAGGGTAAAAGGTGATGGAAAAATATGAAACTGGATTCAGATGAAAGGTGAAGAACTGCGTGTTTGATTTTCATCTCCAGGTTTTAGATCCAAAATGTTGGAGCTCCATTAACAGGCAGATGGACCAAACCAAAAGCTGTTTAAAAGTTCTTAGTGAATTATTTAGTTGTTTCTGGTGACGTTTATGACTTAATTTAATCTCTTTATCTGCATTAAATGTGTTTAACCTCAAGAATGAGGTTCATGACCCTAACTCTGACCCTTACTCTGACCCTGACTATGACCCCGACTCTGACCCTGACTCTGACCCCGACTATGACCCCGACTATGACCCCGACTCTGACCCTTACTCTGACCCTAACTGTGACCCTGACTAGACCCCAACTCTGACCCTGACTCTGACCCTTACTCTGACCCCGACTCTGACCCTTACTCTGACCCTGACTCTGACCCTAACTCTGACCCTGACTATGACCCAACTCTGACCCCGACTCTGACCCTTACTCTGACCCCGACTCTGACCCTTACTCTGACCCTGACTCTGACCCTAACTCTGACCCTGACTATGACCCAACTCTGACCCTGACTCTGACCCTGACTATGACCCCAACTCTGACCCTGACTCTGACCCCGACTATGACCCGACTCTGACCCTGACTCTGACCCCGACTCTGACCCGACTCTGACCCTTACTCTGACCCTTACTCTGACCCTGACTCTGACCCTAACTCTGACCCTGACTATGACCCCAACTCTGACCTGACTCTGACCCTGACTATGACCCTGACTCTGACCCTGACTCTGACCCCGACTCTGACCCCGACTCTGACCCTTACTCTGACCCCGACTCTGACCCTTACTCTGACCCTTACTCTGACCCTGACTCTGACCCTAACTCTGACCCTGACTATGACCCCAACTCTGACCCTGACTCTGACCCCGACTATGACCCCGACTCTGACCTTTACTCTGACCCTTACTCTGACCCTGACTCTGACCCCGACTATGACCCCGACTCTGACCCTGACTCTGACCCGACTCTGACCCCGACTCTGACCCTTACTCTGACCCTTACTCTGACCCTGACTCTGACCCTAACTCTGACCCTGACTATGACCCCAACTCTGACCCTGACTCTCACCCTGACTATGACCCTGACTCTGACCCTTACTCTGACCCTAACTCTGACCCTAACTCTGACCCTGACTCTGACCCTGACTATGACCCTGACTATGACCCTGACTCTGACCCTGACTATGACCCCGACTCTGACCCTGACTATGACCCTGACTCTGACCCTGACTCTGACCCTGACTCTGACCCTGACTCTGACCCTGACTCTGACCCTGACTATGACCCTGACTCTGACCCTGACCCCGACATTAAAGATCCAGCTGGTCTGTTTATGTTCAGTTTATGTTGTTTCTGTGTTTGTAGGTGGAATAAATCAGAGGAACGATTCGGTCCTCTGATTTATAGAAAGGAGAAAAAATCAAACCGCTCTGGAAATTTCCACAACTGGTCAGAAAGTTATTTTTGACGAAGGCCGTTCGATCAGACGGCGCGGTGAAAGGACGGCCTGTGCGGCTGAATGAAAGGCCTCTGTGTCGCTGGCAGAGCAGAGTCTCTGGCTCAACACCCAGCAGCTATTGTGTGATTATTTTAGAAAATGAATGGTCTGAAATCTGCTAAGTCAGCCTGTCTGCAGCTGATTGAAGGCATAATGGAGGCCTGTTGGTGGGTTGATGACTGACAAAGGGCTGCTGGCCATGGCCTACATTCTTGGTTTGTTTAATAGGAGATAAGATCTGACCTGAATAGGCTGTGAGGACAAAAAGCCTGAACACAAAAACTTCAAGACCAAGAAGATTTCAGCAGACGTCCAACAGGCCGACATACTTCCACTTCCTTTGGTTAAACTCCGCAGGAATCTGGAACCTCCTTAAGAATGTAGAGAGGAAAACCTCTGGATGAGACCGGATGCGACTCAGTGGAAGACATTCCTTAAAGGTCTGAATGAAATGTGCTGAGCAACAGAACCACACTGACTTCAGCTTTACATGCTGTCACAGATCTGTCCTGATCCTGGCGATCCGGACCAGGACTTCCCCATCATGTGACTCCGCCCACCAGCGGATCCGTTCTGTGGGCTCCTCGGAGGAAACAACATGGTGGTGAACAGGGCCGCAGAGCGTCCTCCATCTTGATACCAAGCTCCAGCGCCGACGCTAGCTTGGTTCCTAGAACGGAAAAAAACAGATTTTGATCTCAACAAATCACCAGCGTTCAGAACTTGTCCTGGAACAGGAGTTCTGTCCAGGCCCCAAAGAGTCACCGGGTGAGACGTACGGCCCCAAGACCTCCAACCGGCTCCCACAGGGCCCCAGGGCTCCCACAGGGCCCCAGGGCTCCCACAGGGGCCCAGCCCACCGCCGCAGTGGAAACCAAGATGAACCAGACTGGGAGCGCAGGTTACCGTCCCACCTGGAGAGCCTGGGGCCCCCAGGGGCCATACCACAACCCCAGACAAAGCCTTCACAGGGGCCGGGGCCACACCGGGCCCCCCCCATCCCACCGAGTTTCTCATGACATGAAATATCACAATGAACGCAGAAAGACTACAGGAATGTTGTTACAGGTGGTAAATAAAACTTCATAGCACATTTCAAAATAAAACATAAAACACTGCAGTAACCAAAATAAACACAAAATGAATTTCAGCAAAAACAGAATTAAATGCAGAAGTTTTTCACTGACCTCTAATGGAAGCTGCTGAATCCGCTGACCACCGAGGAAAAGGTTTCACATCAGGGCCCTGATGGGGCCCACAGGGGGCCCTGCAAGGGGGCCTGATGGGCCCCGCATGGGGCCTGCATGGAGCCCACATGGGGCCCTGATGGAGCCCACATGGGGCCCTGATGGAGCCCGCATGGGGCCCTGATGGAGCCCACATGGGGCCCTGATGGAGCCTGCATGGAGCCCGCATGGGGCCCTGATGGGCCCCGCATGGGGCCTGCATGGAGCCCACCTGGGGCCCTGATGGAGCCCACCTGGGGCCCACATGGAGCCCTGATGGAGCCCACATGGGGCCCTGATGGAGCCCACATGGGGCCCTGATGGAGCCCACATGGGGCCCTGGGGGCTGAAGGGATATAAAACTGCTCAGATGTAAATTAGACAACATGTTTGGTGCACAGGAACAGGAACCAACCGGGTCACTGATCAGAACCAGCAATACTCAACAAGAAAGAGATTAAAAAATAAAAGCAGCATTTATTAAAAAGCTTGTGCATTTAGTGTCCATCACTTTATCACAGATTAAAAAATGCATCTGTAGGATGTAAATTAATTTCACCATTCAATCTTATAATGGATTTTCTTGCCAGCCTCAATGAGACTTTCAGAATAAAACTCTTTCCTGTATCTGGCATTTCACCACCGACTCAAACAAATGAAGACTCGTTCAGCAGCCGCTGTCATCAGGAGGCCAGAGCCTCGTTTGGGTTTATTGCAAATATCTGCGGGTCACATCATTGTACATTACACAGCAGCAGAAGCCAAGCGGGTTTACAAACCGGGTCACGCACGGGTCAGCTGCTCCTCCGATCCGTCCTCGTTTAATTTAAACACCTGACCAGAGAAAATACTTACATCTCGACAAACCCGGGAACCAGTTTGAACTATTTTCAAACTGGATCTTCAACCGGGTCTTCACTCCTCCACTGTATAACCTGACACAGTTTGGTCCATTTGACGTACAACAGAACCGAGTCAAAGTCAAACACAGTTCTGAGTCATGTCAGAATCCAGCCTTGAACCGGTTCTGGGGTTCTGGCCCGGTCCGTCTCTAAGCAGAGAGCAGCTCCAGCCCCATCATTACATCACATAAAGGATCCATTGTTGGCTGAGTGAATGAGTGACCCAGATTACAGCCATGTAAATTTGGACAGTTTCTCCACCGTTGCCTGGATACTTCAGTTTGGACCAGACAGCACCGTAGATCCAGAACCAACACTGAAACAGACGCGTTGAGCGGTAAAATCAGCTGAATGTTCTGGGCTGCAGGCGTGTGGAGGAGCTGCTTCAGTGAGAACTGAACATGTTGAGGGAGGATCTTTTCCAGACCACAGGGAGCCGCAGAACCAGAGACCCGGATTGGAGCCGGGCCAGCGGTAGAACTAGATCCACCACTGCAGGTCACTGCAGGTCATCCTGCAGGTCACTGCAGGTCATCCTGCAGGACATCTTGCTGGACTCCAGGCTTTTAGCCACCAGTGGTTAACCAGTGACATCCAACTGCATTTAACTAACCGCTAATCATTAATCATAACTCTGTGAAATGAGTGTTTGATATTCTGATGTTTCACATTTAAACTTCAACACAGAAATGATCATAAACCTGCAGTTGCAGTTTGGGATTTTAAATCCAGTCGGTCCAGTTACTGGACTAGGAGTAAACTGGGAATCATGATCATCTCAATCAATCAGAGAATTTATTGAGTTTTATTAGAATAATTTCAGGATTACTGGTTAAAATTGGACTCTGGTGTTATTGTGACTGATTTGAAGACTGTCCAATATTTAGATCAAAGCTCAGGATTTTTCAAGTTATGGATCCAATGATGCATTTCTTCCCGTCAGAAACCAACCTCTACATCCAACATGCCGCTTCACAGAGATACACAGTTTGATAAACAGTTTTAACTGAATTTCTTTTTAATTCAATCTAATGAAATAATGAACACATCCCTGATTTTCCAACCTGCAACTGGAAGATGATTAATTTCTAGATCCAAGGTTTCGATCTTAAAGGTAAAGAAATGGGTCAGTCGGGTAGAACTGGTCTGAGCATCAAGCAGTGATCAATAAGTGGAAGGTGTTATAAAGTGGCAAGACCGATCTGGTGCAGTTGGACCCGGACTGGACGTCCTGAAACAAGGAGTAATAATTTAAAAGCACCAAACACAAACACAGCAGCCCATCTGGAAGATGGTTCCTCTCCCAGCCGGTCTGCAGGCTCCTGAACGTCACACCGACAAAACAACGCAAAGCAACACTTCTGCTGCAGCCTCTGTTCAATCAAACAGGCCGCAATGTCAACGCAAATAAGCCACAGGCTACGTCTCGTAATATACAAAAGCATTCTCCAGAGTAAAGCGTTCAGTCGAAACAGTGTGCTGCAAACAAAGCAAATAAAAAACGCTTCTGGAAATCATAAAGTGTCAGACGCCAGGACTGCAGCCTGACAGGAAACACCGTTAAGCTAGCTTACTTACATGAGCTTTACCTTCAGTTAAACCTCAACACCTCCATTCTCCTGATTAATCCGTTTGTAACCAACGGTGTGCGAATAAACAGGACCAGAAAAAATATTCTTGATTCAAATCAATACCTGAGAAACAATAAAACGGAGCCTCTGATGTTAATGAAATGGGAGCATTTTGCAAAAAGCAAAACATGTTGCATGATAAGACCAACTGGAAAACATGGCGACTCTAACATGAATAATAACTCCTGGATGGCGGCCATATTTAAATATATGGGATCAGGTGTGCAGACCATAACATGAAAGTTTAGGATTTTTCAACTGTTTTGTTCAGTTTGTTTGTAAATCGATAGATTTAGAATCAATACAGTTGGACGCCATGTTTGAATCCAGACCGGCAGCCATTACAGGAGGATGTTGTTCATTTGAGTCTTCAGCCATTTGTTTGCTTTCTGCAGATCCATCCTGCCTGACGTTGGAGGCTCCACTGATGACTGGACCTTTCTGACTTCAACAAGAACTCAGTGTTACAACATTAACATGGGAAACTTTTAAAGTTATTTTCACTGATCAGAGACGAGTCAGAGTTATATCCCAGATAACATCAACAATACTGTGCAAAAGGTTCATCAATAAAACAGAAGGTCTGAAACAGGAATGGATAGTCAATGGCATCAGGTTTGTTCTTTCAGGCACTTGGCAGCAGAGAGTCTGCTTCAGCTCTGCAACAAGGAAATAAACAGAAACTGTGTAAAGCTTTAGCACAGTGTTACAGATCAATCTGGTTTGTGTTTATCAGGTTGTTAAAGCAGAACCAACAGAGTCGATGTGGAAATGAAGCCATTTGATGAGCCGTTGTTCTGCTGGTGGGTTAAAGCTCCGGTCTGATCTGCCTATCAGGAGACAATGGGACCTGCTCAGTTCCTGATCCACAGAGATCCACAGAGATCCACGGCAGTGTGACAGTCTCTGCTGGTGTGCTGTTGGCCTTCACTCCAGGCCGAAGCCTTCGGCGTTGGAGATGGTGATGGTGAGTTTGTGTTTGAGCTCCTTCCGCGTTCGATACGGAGGCAAACAGATCTGGTTGAAGCAGGTGTGAGAGATGGGCAGCCTGAGGAGACGGAGAGGAAGTTCAACGTTAGCAAACAGCCCGACATCAACGGGTCAGAGAGCTGCGCCTCTTTCAGCAGAGCAAACTGACTGATGCCTTCAGGACCAACATTCATCCAGGAACTTTTGCTTTTTTTACACGGTCAACAGAAACCAGATTCCAAATTCAGATTAAACCATATCTGAGGAAGAGGAGGGTATGGCTCTAAGCTTTAGCTCTGCTAACGCTAACACACCATATCAACATGGTATATACTGGGAGCTAATGCTAAAACGCTAAATCCAACCTTTTATCTTAGCAACATGATACATAAGATCCACAGGATCCAGAGGAACCTGGAGGTGCAGATTAGCAGCTTAAGAGGAAAAACAAGAAAATCCAGCAAGACATGAAGGAGACATTTTAATGAAGCTCAGCAGATTCATGGCAGCATATTCTGGCTACTGGGCTCACTCTGATTTCTATAGTTCTGACACAAAGACCCACAGTGTGTAAACACGACACCACCCCCCCCCCCCCCCCCCCCCCCCCCACACACACACACACACACACACACACACACACCCACACACACACACACACACACACACACACACACACACACTGGTTTAAGTGCTGTGGGAGCCGGTGAGAGCTAAGCTGTGGATGGTTTTCACATTTACCGGAGAAACGAAGCGCTCAAGTGGAAGGACCTGGGGAGGGTCAGGACCAGGACCGGGACTTTAACGCTTTCATTTCCATTAATTATCCACATAAATTTTATCACACTGAAATTTTTAATTGTATTTTTTAAATTCCTTATTATTCACACATTCCTGTTCTGCCTGTAAATCTGACAGAATCAGCATCACAAACCAAACAGACATTTTCATGACCAGTAAATTAAATGTACTGATGAAAAGCAGGATGAAGAATTTCTGCTTCAGAAACTTTGATGGTTGAAAAACATGAAGAACAAAAAGGATTAAAATAATAAAATGTTTGTTGTTGAGCTCAGATGTCTGTATATTCAGTAATTTAGCAGCAAAAATGTTTTTGCATTGAAAATGTTTATTTTATTGATAGTTTCATATTAAAGCCTAATTAATTCATTACAGATATTGCAGTCAACTTGACTAGACATTTAATGTTTGACTATATTAAACCAGGTTAGGAGAAATGCCTTATGCCTGTTCAGCATGGTGGTGGAGGGATGGTGATGTGGGCTCAGGTTGGGGCTACAGGACCTGAAAATGATCCACCTGAACGGCATCGTAAGAGGCGGGACTGCAGCATCGTACGAGGCGGGACTGCAGCATCATACGAGGCGGGACTGCAGCAACGTAACAGGCGGGGCGGCAGCATCGTAACAGGCGGGGCTGCAGCATCATACAAGGCGGGACGGCAGCATCTTACGAGGCGGGACGGCAGCATCTTACGAGGCGGGGCTGCAGCATCGTAACAGGCGGGGCTGCAGCATCGTAACAGGCGGGGCTGCAGCATCGTACGAGGCGGGGCTGCAGCATCGTAACAGGCGGGACTGCAGCATCGTACGAGGCGGGGCGGCAGCATCGTAACAGGCGGGGCTGCAGCATCGTAACAGGCGGGGCTGCAGCATCGTACGAGGCGGGGCGGCAGCATCGCAACAGGCGGGGCTGCAGCATCGTACGAGGCGGGGCGGCAGCATCTTAACATGCGGGGCTGCAGCATCGAGCGAGGCGGGGCGGCAGCATCGTACGAGGCGGGGCTGCAGCATCGTAACAGGCGGGACTGCAGCATCGTACGAGGCGGGGCTGCAGCATCGTACGAGGCGGGGCGGCAGCATCTTACGAGGCGGGGCTGCAGCATCGTAAACAGGCGGGGCTGCAGCATCGTAACAGGCGGGGTTGCAGCATCGTACGAGGCGGGGCTGCAGCATCGTAACAGGCGGGGGGGCAGCATCGTAACAGGCGGGGCTGCAGCATCGTACGAGGGGGGCGGCAGCATCTTAACATGCGGGGCTGCAGCATCGAGCGAGGCGGGGCGGCAGCATCGTACGAGGCGGGGCTGCAGCATCGTAACAGGCGGGACTGCAGCATCGTACGAGGCGGGGCGGCAGCATCGTAACAGGCGGGGCTGCAGCATCGTACGAGGCGGGGCGGCAGCATCTTACGAGGCGGGGCTGCAGCATCGTAACAGGCGGGCTGCAGCATCGTAAACAGGCGGGGTTGCAGCATCGTACGAGGCGGGGCTGCAGCATCGTAACAGGCGGGGCGGCAGCATCGTAACAGGCGGGGCTGCAGCATCGTACGAGGCGGGGCGGCAGCATCTTACGAGGCGGGGCTGCAGCATCGTAACAGGCGGGGCTGCAGCATCGTAACAGGCGGGGTTGCAGCATCGTACGAGGCGGGGCTGCAGCATCGTAACAGGCGGGGGGGCAGCATCGTAACAGGCGGGGCTGCAGCATCGTACGAGGCGGGGCGGCAGCATCTTAACATGCGGGGCTGCAGCATCGAGCGAGGCGGGGCGGCAGCATCGTACGAGGCGGGGCTGCAGCATCGTAACAGGCGGGGCTGCAGCATCGTAACAGGCGGGGCGGCAGCATCTTACGAGGCGGGGCGGCAGCATCGTAACAGGCGGGGCTGCAGCATCGTAACAGGCGGGGCTGCAGCATCGTAACAGGCGGGGCTGCAGCATCGTAACAGGCGGGGCTGCAGCATCGTCATAGGACAGCAGGAAGGTGAGCGAGTTCACGGCCGCCCAGTCTGGACTTGAACTCAGTCAACCTGGTTTTCTTTGGATCTGACTCCATTCTGGGGTCACGACCCATACGGGTGTGTATGTGTGAGAGAGAGAGGATTCCTCCAGCAGCTATCTGTATATGTGCAGCTATAGGAACATAATCTGGCCCATATGGAGGCCCAGCTGCTCAAGTGTGTGTGAAAGGAGAGCTGTTTGTCAGAGCAGCATGGTTTCTCTCTCTCTCACACACACACACACACACACACACACACACACACACACACACACACACACACACACACACACACACACACACACACACACACACACACACACACACACACACACACTCAGTGTGTTTCAGAGTTGGTTTCAGCTGCTGGGCCCCCGACCATTCACTGAGCTTCAATGCTATGGAAAGTTTGTCCATGGGAAAACGTCCAGCTGCCACAGGACACCTCATAGTAAACGGCCAGCTAAGCTACAAAGCTAAAAGCTACGAAGCTAAGACATGAAAAGAAGCTAATAGGTCACTATTTTAATCAATTAAAAGATGAGTTGAAGACTTTTGAGTTTCTTTTGTGTCTGAAGGG